GATATTATGCACTTGCTGATTTTATAAGCTTAATATTTCTACATTGGCAATACTCCCAGATGTAAACACCATAAAAACAAAAAAACAACAAAACAAAACAATGTAAAGTCGTACATTCTCATGCTGTCACTCAGTTTGCTTTGCACTTACTGGTCCACAAAAAGAAAACACCTACAGGTAGAAGTATAACATCCATTGTGCATGGCTACCACCTTTCTCGTTTATTCATGATTTCATGGTGCAAATTGGAACAACAATGACCAGGATCACAGTGCAAGTAGCAGCTGCAATCAGTGCTCCAATCTTACACACCTTGGCCCGCCTAAATTCTGCCTCTTTCTTCTTGAGCAACGAGTCATAGCCTGGGGTGTAGATGTCCTCCATCCAGTACTCCAGATTATTGGGGTTTAACGACTCCTGGGTCTGATGAAAGACACAAAGACTATAAATAACAATTAGGGATGTTTTTCATTTGGCTTTAAAAAAACAACATTTTTAATTAAATGCCGTGTTGTGGCTGTTATTTTTAGCATCTGCCTGGATGTTAAAATCACCCACAATAACTGTTTTATTGTGAGTGAGAAGTCAGACAGAAACTCTGTGTGAGGTCCAGGTGGACCATCGATGGTAACAAAGCTGGGGTGGAGGAGGCTGAGCATCAGGCTTTCAGATGAGTCTCTAAATCAACAATCCTGGTATCCAGAGCTTCCAGTAGGCTTATTACTATAAAAGTCTGAATGAATAGTGAAAAGCTCATATTCTTTAAATTACTTAAAGAGTGAAATTATGTTTTCAATCTTTAACTATTTTATGGGTTTTATTTTAAAACTCTGTGTGTTTGTGGGGAGATAAACTATGTATGATATCAAAATTATCTGTCATTAACATACATTTAAATTCACCACCCATTGCTAACCCTCCTCATGAATTACAGCTTCCACCTGCTCACCTCATTCGCCCGGACTACCCACCAGAACCACCAGAGAGACCCCACTCTCAAAGTGTTCACCAGTGAGTTGGATAAGTGTTGCTGGATAACAACATCTCCCTTATAAAGAGATTCTTTTAAAGTTTCGAAGTGTGTTTGATAAGTATGGTAATGCTCACTACAGTCAGTCCTTTCTCCAAGCCGCTCATTTTGTTGCCCTTCCTCCACTGCCCACAGCAGTGGAAACCGTTCAGTTCCTCACAGATCACATTTTCCACCTCCATGGGATCCCTCTCAACATAGTCTCCGACCACGGCCCCCAGTTCACCTCCCAGGAAGGAATTCTGCTTGACACTCGACACAAAGGTCATCCTCATACCAATGACCAGACAGAATAGGTCAATCAGGAGCTGGAATTCCAACCGGACCATGCAGCTTGCCTGGTTGGAATACGCCCAAAACTGCATGACCTGCTGGTCAACTGGTCTGCTACCTTTTGAGGCCTCCATAGGTTACCAACCTCCACTCTGGAAGACCACCCAAGCAGCCTTCCTTTGGACGAAGGAGCAAAATAAATGGCTGCCTGACTGGAACAGGACTACTGCACTTCCCTGTACTCGTCCACCTTACACAGAGTTTGTCTGATTTCTCAGACTATTTATCTGATTTAGTGCTCAGCTCAGATAAAACAAATATTGTGGGTGATTTTAACATCCACGTAGATGCTAAAAATGACAGTCACTCTCTCCCTTTCTGGTAATCGCACGGAACAAATCAATTTTTGTCTGTTCAAAGCACAGCACACACCTCTTTTTCTGGGTCACCCCTGGGTACGATAAAAAACCCTGTATTAACTATGACAAGGATTGTATCTCCGGTTGGAGTAATAGCTGCCTTAAGTGTGCCACTCTATACATCCAAAGCTGCAAGACCTCCTCGTGTATGGTCTTAATTTATTTATTTGTCAAAGTACTGTCCTTGGTGCTGAAGACTGAAGAAGTCACTTGATGAGTGACCAAATGTTTCTCCCACTGGAAACGCTACATCCAGATGAACAGAATCAACTTTTTGGGACTTGGTGCTGAATATTAATGGCCAGGATTCTTGGCTCCTATTGGACAATATCATAATGTGATTGTATTACAAAACAAAACAAAATTAGATACTTTAAACTCCAACAGATTTCATTACCCACTGTAAATGCCGGCAAAGCCACTTTACTTTGCGCTTTTATTTTGAAGAGTACCTTAGCACTTCCTCTTTTATTGTGTCAGACTTCCTTTTCTGTTCTCAGTGGAACGACACAAACACGTGCTTCAGAGTGAGTAAAACCTTTATTTTTTGAAAATACTCATGCAAGACTATGTATTTTATTTATCTGTCACATGCTATAACTTTGAAAGTTTACTCAATGTGGTTGAATTCGTTTTTTACTGTATATGCATGTCATTTGTTTGTGGTGTGGAAAGACTGGCTAAGAGATGTGCATGGAGGAGGTTGGCTAGCTGGTTCAGCATGATTAGCACCCTTGGAAGCAGAAAGAGGTTTAATGATGCAAATGATTGTTTATGTATTTAAGAGGCAGAAAGGTTGTCGTTAATTCATTTTATTAAATGCTGTAACATAAATAGTTTAAAAACTATTGATTTATGTCAATGTTACTATTTGAGTTAATCAAAATAATTTTCTATAGTAAAATGTGAACATTTCTGCACGTTTTACTTGAATGTTTAATGGTATTTGTTTGTGCATCTTTATAGTTTTCACGGTGTCATATTGTCGGTGGTTTAAAGAGGAGAGAATAAAGTTGCATCAGTCGAAGCTCTCTGCGTCATGAGGGGTAATTCCAAGTGGGCAGCTATACCCACTACTTCTTGTTGCTTTTGGTGGGATTGAAGTGAAATGGTTTCAATAATACATGCAGATTTTTGTGAAGATTTTAAGTGATAAGTATGTAAAACACAAACTATATGAGATAGAAGTCAGAATTTAATGAGTGAAAAGAGGTGAGTGGAGAAAAATGCTCAGTGGATCATAGAAGGACCCCCAGAAGCCTGATAGCAGCATGACTCATGCTGTCGAGAAATGTCGAGAAATTAAGTTGCTCGACATTTAATAATATGCAATACGTATGCAGAGCCCAGAACTGTACCTGCAGGTCCAGAGCAGTGAGCTGCTTTTCCTTCTTTCCTGAATTGCGTTTGTATTCCTCAATGGTCCAGGATGGCTGGCCACGTATCCCAGCTGATGGACTGGTGAGCCTCACATCAGCGTACAGAGAGCTGTCTTTCATGTGGGCCTTGACAGAAGGGTTGAAGTGATGCGGTGAAAACACCTGCTCAGTCAGGTAGGAATCCTTTGATTGCTTTTGGAGTCGTTGCACTTGGGGGAGCTCATACTGACGCTTTCGATCTGTCTAAGAAAACAGTGAAGGATAAACACAGCAGATTTTAATCACTGCAGAAAAATATTTATAACCATCTCACAGATATATCATTACGTCCAGATACTTTCAGCACTACTTATGTTCTTTTAAACTTGTTCCTGAGTTAACTTCAATATTCACTCCCTCCAAATGATCAATTTTTAGACACCATTCCTACAAGAATGCTCAGAAAAGTTCACTTTTCAATTAAATTCACTTTTATTTATAAAGCACCAAATCACCTCATGGTGCTTTATACTGCACGGTCAGGACCCCACAAGAATACAAAGACAACAGAAAACCCCAACAATCACTTGATCCCCCTTTGAGCAAGTGCTTAGGCAACAGTGGAAAGGAAAAACCCAGCTACACACACACACACACACACACAGATGTGATTAGACAGATTAGATTTTTAATCTCAATGAGATTTTTACCGGGCTGAATAAAGGACTAATAATACCCACGAACCCACTAATGACACACAAAGACATACACGCACACACTGACAATCCCCCCGGCGGTGCGGTAAGGAGATGTCCCTCTGAAACAGCCAGGACGCAGCCACAGCGCCCCACAAACGACCTGTAGACCCCCGTACCTGGCCGAGTGTGACACAGTGTGCTGTGGAGTGTGAGTGTATATACGGGATGACTTACTGTATGAAAACTAGAGTGCTGTTGGGTGGGGGACGTGACACAAACACCCCACTGCTGAACAGTAGCACTTACACACATCCCCCAGCCGATGAGAAGAACTTTAAATTGTATTCTGGATTTAACAGGAAGCTAATGAAGAAAAGCCAACAAGGAGAAATCTGCTCTCTCTTTCTAGTCCCTGTCAGGACTCTTGCTGCAGCATTTTGGATCAATTGAAGGATTTTCAGGGAGTTTTTATCTCATAATCCTCATAATAACAAATTACAGTAGTCTAGCCTAGAAGTAATGCAATAATATGAATCCTACAAAAATGAATACTTCAGTTTTGAATATGATTAGTCTATCTCTATTAACAGGCTGCATACTACAGGCTTTTAAGCTGGCAGTAAACCATTGCATAAAAAGCCATCACTTGACCAGCATCTTAGCTGATTATAGACCAGGGGTGGACAACTCCAGGCCTCGGGTGCCGGTGTCCTGCAGGTTTTAGATCTCACCCTGGGTCAACACACATGAATCACATGATTAGTTCATTACCAGGCCTCTACCTGGAGAACTTCAAGACATGTTGAGAAGGAAATTTAACCATTTAAATCAGCTGTGATGGATCAAGGACACATCTAAAACCTGCAGGGACACCGGCACTCGAGGCCGGGAGTTGTCCACCCCTGTTATAGACCAATCTCTAACCTTCCTTTCTCAAAAAATCTCAAAGATTCTTGAAAGAGTACTTGTAAATCAGCCAAACTGATAATCAGAAGAAATGGTATATCAGAAAGTTTCCCAATTCTTAGTTTCCAAATTATAGAACAGCAACAGTAAAGCATACAAACTCTAACGAGCTACGGTGGCATTACCCTACTCTCCAGCAGCACTGTGAGGAATCTTGGAGTCATTTCTTAACCAGGACATGTCCTTCAATGTGCATATTAGACGAATATGTGGGGTTGCCTTCTTGTATTTGTGCAATATCTCTAAAATTAAAAAAACATCCTAACTCAGAGTGATGCTGAAAAACCTTCATGGGAGAATTCGAGGCTATATGAAAACCTTTCAGGTGATTTGAAATGCTGCAGGCAAAGTACTGACAGTGACTAGAAACAGAGAGCAAATGTCTCTAATGCTGGCTTCTCTTTATTGGCTACCTGTTAAATCCAAAATAAAATGCTTCTCCTCATACAAAGAGGCCACATCTAATGTTTAAGACTTCACAGTAACATATCACATCACCATATCATAGTACCTACACCCTGCCAGTGATCAGATAATCAGCTGACCAAAGGTGGAGATTGAAGACACTGACATCAAGTGGCTGGACGAGGACTGAAAGACAGCTAAGAAGCACTGATCACGGCAGCACAGGAACACAAGATCCACAGAGGCTGGGGTCTACCACACCAGGCAAGACCCCAAAGATGTGCAACATAACTGAGTGGCCAAAATAATATACAGGAACATCTGTGGTGTTTCCTGGAAGTCCCAAGGTCAAAATGGGACACGTCCTCTAGTGTGGTTGAGAATGACAGAGCTAAGATCAGGTGAGACTTACAGACACACAAACTGGTGATGGCTAACCAACTGGACATTGTAATGGTAAACAAGCTGAGGAAGATAGTGATCGATGTAGCTATCCTGAGTGATAGCAACATCAGGAAAAAGGAACATGAGAAGCTCAAGAAGTACCAAGAGCTGAGAGATGTCAGCTTCTTCCTCTGCAGCTCTGCCATACTGTATTCTGTTTCCAGTCCACTTACTATTAAGTCATTCACACGGGTATACTGCAATAGCAACTTCTGTTGTCTGGAGACATTAGAAAACTCTCCTGACATACAATATAGACATTTGTTAATCCCCTCGATATCATCCTCAGAGACTGTACCCATCTTTGCTCAATTAAGATATAAACAAACACAGTTAACCTGTTTAGTTGTTGCTTAGCAGGAAGTTCACAGTTGGCTTCCACAATTCACAATTGTTAAGGAATGCTAGATGTGTCAGCACTAGAGGGAAGCAATAGAAACCTTTCCCCTCTTGATTGTTACGCTAGTCGGACACCACAAAAGTGTGTTACTGGAGAATGTCAAGCAGATTGTTGATATTAGCCGACCTTGTTGGTTTGTGATGCCAATCAGTTGATAATGTGGAAATGACAAGGCACAGGGGCAAAACATAAGATGCTTTGTGAAGGGAAAAGTAGGGGCGTTTACTGTCCACAACCCTAGTCGGTCTGTCTTCTGCAAAAATGGCTGGAGGCTAATAAGGAAGCCTGGTCCTGGGCTACTGAAGCCTGGTTGTGGCCTGGTGGCCGAGCTTGGTGACTGCTGGAGGATCCTGGGCCTGATGTTGGATAAGAAGGCCTGACTCACGGTCTCTGCTCTGATTCATGCCAAAGGTGTTCCATCAGTTAGAGGTCTGTCCAGGCCAATCAAATGTTTCTACACCAGGGTCACCAGTAAGACACAACACACAAGCTTGTTAATAGGGGTGGGGGAAAAATGGATACTGTGTAGCATGGTGATATTTTGTTTGCTAATAATGTATGGATACAGGGACAGCAAAAATCGATATTTTGTTACAAAAAGGTTTTTGTGCTCTGACTTCAGAGCATGTTGATCCTTTTTCTGAGCAAGAATCCTGACATTCCTTCACTGTCCAAATG